GAGGAGGAAGCAGGAAGCGCGCGGCGCCGCAGGTGTGTGTATACATACATACACACACACATATCTATCTATACATACGTATATATATATATACATCTCTGTATGCGTGTATTCACCGGGGCGCTCCCGCGCGAGCCCCGGGCGGGTGGTTTGCAACGTCCAAACCACCCATCCTAGGGGAGCACACGGAGTCACTGCCAGGCACCCTGGATGCAGTGGTTGGTAGCTGCGTGTGGCGCTCCCCATTTTAAGCCGCTGTTTCCAATGTCTGCAGCTTCACCGGGCATTAATCATGCGCTGGGAATTCTTAGATTCCAGGTGCTTTCCGTGCAGGGATCTTTTTTGCCCCCAGTTTCAGCCAACACATATCATGCCTTTGCCATGAGGAGGGTAGGGAAAAAGACATTGCTTTGCCCTTGTTAACGAATGTTGGCAGCCTTTTTTTCCCTCTCTCCAATAACCTTCACTTTGATTTGGGTATTCAAATATAGCAGGGCCAGGAGCCTTTACATCAAGGTGATGCCTTTTGCCCCGCCTGAGAAAAAGAATCAAGATCTGCACTTCCTTCATTGGAAAACTGCTGTTTCCCCATTAACGTGAAAGATTTGCTAGCTGGGCATCTACCCGTGCAACTACCTGACTCACTTCAGGCCGACTCCAAGCGTTTTCGATGAGAGCGATCCAGAGCAAAACTCCGCAGATGTGCTTCACTCTACCAGAGCGCGGCAATGCCTCCACGCTCCCTGCTGAAGCAGGCACTGCCAGGAACGCTTCCCTCACCTCACTGACCCAGGAGTCTGGGCAAGGGGAGCGGGAAGCACCTGCAGAAACTCTTGCTTTGCACCACCAAGGTCACAAGTCACCCTTGTAAGCCGTGGCTCTTCTTCACTCACATGTTGAAAATAATTTTAAAATAATATACCAGAGCTATACCAAGAACATGAAGCTTACAACATTAATCACTGTTAGGAAATAATGAAGGCTGTCAAAAAGCCTTAATTTTTGCGTTAACATGTAATATGAGCTTTTAATTGCACTTCCCATGCTACTTTCCCAGGGATATCTGGCACAGTAACAACAGCATTCTCCTAATGAGAACATTTTTTCCCCCGTTCTGGTGCCAACCTGCGGTGATTGCTGCATGCCACTCAAAGACCTCTTTTCTGAGGTAAAAAACGTTTATCTTCTCATTTTTTTAAGGTACTTAACACTGCGCAGGCCCTTCCCAAACACTCATGTGCTTCCACAGCTCCTCGGAGTAGCTGTTACCTTGGCAAAGGGCAGGCAGGGAACGATGAGCCACCCTCTCGGGTCCGAATGAATTTTCGCTTCTCAGGTGGCGCACTGCCCAAAGTGCTAGGCGGGCAGGTAAAAAACGTTTATCTTCTCATTTTTTTAAGGTACTTAACACTGCGCAGGCCCTTCCCAAACACTCATGTGCTTCCACAGCTCCTCGGAGTAGCTGTTACCTTGGCAAAGGGCAGGCAGGGAACGATGAGCCACCCTCTCGGGTCCGAATGAATTTTCGCTTCTCAGGTGGCGCACTGCCCAAAGTGCTAGGCGGGCACCGTGTCTGCAGCAACGCCGGGGGCTGCCGCTCACTGCACCCCAACGAGCCAAGAGCCTAAAGAAAGCCGGGAGAAACAGCCCCCATTGCTA